TGTACCGCCACACCTGCACCGCCATCTGGGATAAACAGCAGCAACAGGACAACCCTGGCAACTATACACGATAACCTGGCCATCGCAACACATACACGCCCCAACTCGGTATTACTGTCAGATTATTTATCTCCACATCAAAGTTGACATCGGCATCTGTAACCGGCCTCTACCTGTTGAGTAGTAGCTGGCTTTTATTATAGGGCTTGATTGGAATTTGAGCACCTGTAGCGGAGAGATCGTAACGCGCACCTGTACTGGTATTTGAAGTGACCACTGGTCCTAGGATGGCTTTGAAAGCAGGTGCCCCGACATCTGAAGAGCGCATTGAGAGTTGATGGCGAGGGTCAAGTTGTACTTCCCATAGGAGGAGAGACCAAGCTGTGACCTCTGTCAACAGTCCCATGTGCGGAATGTAATGGAAATCAGATTGTTTAAGATTTAAATAAAAACACACATAAAAAACCAAGTTGTCTCTGAATGTTGGATGTGTTAGTTGTTCAACATAAAGTTTCACATTAACGTGTGTCAATCATTTGTGATCTAGTACTGGTCATTTCCCAAACAGAACCATGTCACGCGGTCACTAGAAACGTGTCAGGTACACTCGCAGGTCAACCAGGATTGTGCTCGAAACCAAACTTTTCATTCAAATTATAAATGAAACCTCAAGAGGAAAGAGGTAGAAAATGGCGATCGTCACATGACACATGACTCTTTGAGGACTTACACATATTCCCTTTCATAAACTATCTCTATATCCCTTGAACACGTCTGTTCTTCAGCACCGAGATTGTGCCTGAAGACGTCAGTGTGGGTATATAAACTATACACAACAGGGTACAATAAAAACTATACACAACAGGATACAATTATCAACTATACACAACAGGATACAATATCAACTATACACAACATGCAGGGTACAACATAAATTATACACAACAGGGTACAATATCAACTATACACAAAGGGATACAATATAAACTGTACACAACAGGGTACAATAAAAACTATACACAACAGGATACAATATCAACTATACACAACAGGATACAATATCAACTATACACAACAGGGTACAATATATCAACTATACACAACATGCAGGGTACAACATAAACTATACACAACGGGATACAATATAAACTATACACAACAGGGTACAATATATCAACTATACACAACATGCAGGATACAACATAAACTATACACAACGGGATACAATATAAACTATGAACAACAGAATACAATACATAAATTTATAAAGATAAAGGAAACCGATGTATACCCTGTTGTGTATAGTTGATATTGTATAGTTTATATTGTATTCTGTTGTGTATAGTTGATATTGTACCCTGTTGTGTATAGTTGATATTGTACCCTGTTGTGTATAGTTGATATTGCATCCTGTTGTGTATAGTTTATATTGTATTCTGTTGTGTATAGTTTATATTGTATTCTGTTGTGTATAGTTTATATTGTATTCTGTTGTGTATAATTTATATATTGTATTCTGTTGTATATAGTTTATATTGTATTCTGTTGTATATAGTTTATATTGTATTCTGTTGTGTATAGTTTATATTGTATTCTGTTGTGTATAGTTTATATTGTATTCTGTTGTGTATAGTTTATATTGTATTCTGTTGTGTATAATTTATATATTGTATTCTGTTGTGTATAGTTTATATATTGTATCCTGTTGTGTATAGTTTATATATTGTATTCTGTTGTGTATAGTTTACATTGTATCCTGTTGTGTATAGTTTATATATTGTATTCTGTTGTGTATAGTTTATATTGTATTCTGTTGTGTATAGTTTATATTGTATTCTGTTGTGTATAGTTTACATTGTATTCTGTTGTGTATAGTTAATTTTCTGCCATGTCTGTATTTTCCCAACTTTTAGACGTCACACAAATACATAACTTGGTAGTCCTGGCAGTATTGATGCAAGATACACTATAGTTGTTGGGCAACGCTCTACGTAGTGACAGTATTTGATACACTATGGATAGATACACAATCGGTCAGGGTAACAATACACACACACTTATACAAATATTTGTAATGACCTATGATTATCTAAAGATATTTCAGATTTGTTTGAAGTTGTGTATATAATAGCAGACTATTCATATGCTACCTGGCTCATTATTCGTAAAACACGTAGCTGTATTTCTGTTATGGTGAGGCCTTTAAAATAATAATTAATATTAGAGGTATGGGGATACAATAAGGAATGCCTTACATTTGGGCATTTATTACAAAATGTCAAATAGTTGTTGTATTCCTGAAAAACAATCACTAACAATTATCAGCAGAGCTGTATCAAGGCGGCGGCGAGGCTCCCCAGAAGCCATTGCTGGTTTTCCCACACATCATTGTAGTAACGGCGGTTTGTGTTGGAGTAAAACATCCTTCACTTTGTTTGAGTTAGGCCGACGAAAAGTGACAAGCCAAGCTCGTAATCTAAAAATAGACCAGTACGGCTACCTGTCCAGTGACGTTCCGCTCTCTCATTGGCTGTCGGCACACATTGATCGTAGCGGCACGCGCCACTGTTTATTCACCGTAATCAAGTTATCAGCCTTAACAATAGAGCACTGTCGCCTAGGCCCTCCCTCGCCCGATATTCTATACATAGTGCACGCGCCGCGCGGCTTGCCCACACTTAGCCACGCGACCACTCGGCCAGGGAAGCCACACACTTCCTGGCTCTGGAACAGGTCCGATACAAAGGAAATATCTAGAATATGGATGTACATGGAAGGTCTGTCTAACTACCGGACCATCGAACGGACTGGTCAGCAGACGTATACAAGACACTGCCAGCATCGGAAATAGTGTGTGAGAAAAGGTTGAAATATGGCTTCTCAGCTGGCGTTGGCCTTTGTCCCTGGGAGCAGACAGATGGAGGGTACCCACACCTGTGTTACTGCTGCTGAGACCAAACCGCTGGGAATCGGCTAATTTCTCTCCCATCTAAGAATGGCTGTGCCCATCTGGTGGACGGGGTAGAGACAAGCCCCGACTAATCAGCCAGCATCTGCCGGGATATTGGGAAACAACATACAAGATTAATCAACGACTGTCAAATGGTGCGGGAATATAGCATGAGATCGTCTTGTTGAAATATTGTTGGAAACCTCCCTATGACAGGCCAATAATGAAATATCACATGAGATAGACGGTGTGGAATAACCAAGAACACGGATTATAGGCTTTAGAGGATTCCGAAGTTTGAAAACTAATTTCTTGGACTGGATACGTAACTCTTGAAAGTTAGTTTGTGTACATGAAACAATTCTTGGACTGTTGAAGTTTGTGTACATGAAACAATTCTTGGACTGTTGAAGACAGTAAATGTGGACCGGTATTTCGGGTGGAGGGATGTAGAGCACCTCTACGATGTGAGGCAATCACTGCCAGGAGGGAAGAAGAAGTTAAACAGGTGCCCGGCAGGTGGCCCAGTCCCCTCCCCGGGATGCTAACCCCCATAGAGACAGTGGATGAGTGTTCGCTTATCTTGCAAGTAGTCGGACATTGAATACAAACCAACCAGCTCTGATGCCAAAACTGGCCGAGTCTCACGCGAGGTTGGAGCCAGGAGCGATAACTCTGTCGCCACCCCGCGGCTCGCCTGCTATCGACACCTCCCACACGGAGCGTCCCTCAAACATGCAGAAGATGTGAGAGATACTGCTAGCTCAACAACAATATATACAAATGACATGTGCGCCATCTGAAAAAAACTCGCACAGTGGACTTGCAGTCGGGGAAGCACTGGATATGAATTACTCACGATAGTAGATATGTAAGGAATACACCCCCCAATAAAGACGGACATAAGTATCTATATACTACAACTCGCGTATTTATCTTCTAAATTAAAAAAATGAACTTTTACTTTGATGTCGCGATAATAAATATTGTGTGTCCCTGAAACAAGTGCTCGAGCGTCTGGTTGTGTGCCTCTGTGCCGGGCAGAGCCCTCGTGCGGTTCACTGAGTGTGGGGTCTTTGTTTCTTTGCTGGTATGAGCATGATGCTTTCAGATTACACACAGTCTGCCTAATGGTCGGGCCAGCTGGGCCGCGATATTTAGTGTCACATACCGCGATGTAGCCGGACATCGGGGGAACAAGCCGACAGCCAGAATACCGCAACACAACACTTATTTATTTTTGCTAATCTCTGCAGCTCCCCGGCGCCTCAAGTCTAGAGCGAGACACTCGAAAGCACACATGAATATATGCAGATTCGCAGGTGTGCGGCTGTGAAACATCTACAGGGCGAAGGTGACGGATTTTAATGCAATTTATCAGCCATGGGAGGGCGGCCTCTTTGATGTTTGTGTTGATTGACAGCGTGGTAGCTACAGCGACCGCCTGGCTGGCGCCGTCTACGATAGCAAATATACACACAGTGAATGGGTGACGTCACAGCCCTGGCGCCAGTCTGTCGCGCTTCGCCGCCGCTGATTGTAGAGTGTAGAGCTATTAATCACCTGCCACCTCTCACTGCGAGTGACAAGAGGGGTTTATACAAGACTCTACTGCTCTGTGTGGAAAAATAGCTGTAACCTTCCAAATATATGATCCAACCTTCCCAAAAATATTTCTATGTCAACTGTTGAAAAAAATATGACATTTTAAACGCTGATACTTCGTCTATGTGTTGAAAGTTGAGCCTGGGAAAAAATTGGAGGAGGTGTGGCTTGAATTGATAAGCTTACGCAGTCCTACGTTTTGATTGGTTCAAACAATACGGAGCTTTAGAAACCAACCCAAGCCGCTGTTGATTGGTCCGCTCGGAAGGCGGAGCTTAGCGGTCTGCCTTGTTACAGTGGATGGCTCTGTAGACAGTGGCGGTGTATATAAGGCTGGCCAACCCACCTTGACCATACACTCAACCGAGCTCGTAGTATTCGGACGTGCTTCTCAATTCCGTGATCTACTACTACTTACCTCGAGTTACTACTACCTACCTACATCATGAAGGCTGTTGTTGAAACGTGTGTCCGTGCTGACTTTGGAGTCAAGGACATTAAAATTACCAAGCCAAGGATTGAGGATTCCGAAATGTCGGCGTGTTTCCACAAACTGAAGGAGCTGGTTCCGTCAGTACCCCAACACAAGAGGATCTCCAAGGTAGCGCTTCTCCAACATGTCATTGACTACATCCTTGATCTGGAGATAACCCTTGAGAAACACCCTGCGATGGCATCTATCCCCCCACCCCTTGCTGCCGTCTGCCGCTCACCACTGGCAGAGAAATCGGATCTAAACGCCCAAATTGAGGTAACTATCAATGTTATTATTTGATTGTTGATGACCGCTATTCTTATCAAGACTTGACTCGTATCGCATCCTGTGTCTATTATCCTGGTCTTGGTGTACACGTCAGTTGTCTCATGTTAGATCAGTGTATTTACATGTTCTGACTGAACGTTCGATAAATCGATCTGTCGCTAAATCAAAAGGGCTTGCCTTCGATTCGTTTATTGAAGTGCAGTCTTAAACCGCAACTTTGATTTCATAAATCTTATTGACTTCGTACTTAATCTCAGAAATCATAACGTTTTTCATGAAAATCAGGGCAGGAAAATGGCTTCTAGCTTGCTTCATTATTATTTTATGTTGATAACCAGCAGCTTATGGATTATTTGGCCTCGTTTTCAGCCTGCTTGCGATATTCTAATGGATACAGCATCGAGCGGCATGTGCGATCTCCGACCTCCGTCCAAATAAACATCATGCGGTCACTTTGGATATCGAAGGACAAATTAAATGGTGAGTACAACTGAGCGATACATATTTAGTCTGAAACAAAGCGAGTGGAGCGAGCGGTCTGTCTGGCCAGCTGCACAAGCAGGAGGGAGTAGCGAGATAGTTGAAATATTTGGCAGGCCGTTGTGGCGACTGACTGGCGCCGGCAGTTGTGGGAGTGTCTCTCGGCGAGGAAACAGGTGTTAGGGTGCTGTCTCAGTTGGCTAACTAGCTAGATTATAACCAGATACAATTACACAAATAATTTCCTTGGTAAACAATATCTTTGTCCAGATTCTTATAGACATATTCATTCATGTTTTTTTGTTGTGGCCGGTGGCTATAATATTTTTGTTGTCCTGTTTTCAGCAGAAGTCTCTCTGTATCATCCGTGCTGACAGGATAACCTGACGGACAGTGGGACAGAGCGACACTCGGCGTTCCTCCACACACACACATACACGGAAGGAATACGCTATACACGCACGTGCAGTCGGCCCGACCCCACGGGCTGCTAGGAGATGTGAGGCCGACGTGGCCATCCCAAGAATCATCAGCAGCCGGGACATCGACGACAACTGTGGCAAGGATGAACCTTGTTTCTCCCTGCCTGACCGGTGGGCGACGTGACTACATCCGCCATTACCGGTCCTGAACCGGAGTGAGTGGACATTCGGACTACCATCAACATCACGGCTGGGACAGCGTGGACAAACGCACCAGGAGATTACATACGACGTTCCCAACGACTTTGTCGTGATAGACTCTATCGAAGACTCTTGTATTTTTTGTAAGATACTGTTGTTGAGTTTTGTTATTGAATTGTTGTTACCCACTGTTGGACGTTGTATATACGTTATATGGATCACAATACAAAATGTGCAAAACAAGTGCGTCAATCCGTGTGTTATATTTCCTCCCGGCAGACCCAGTCATGATGTCGGTTCCAGTTTCTCCGAATAACTATTTTCTAATAAAATAGTTACCAATAAGAAATGTTCCCTGAAAAATAGTGATTTCCCCGCTGTTGCAACACGTACTGGATGTAGCAAGGCGGATACACATTGCGGGGTTGCAGTTCTTCCGCCACCGGGTCAGTACAGTGAGCAGCTTTCCACAATACAACTGGCATGGCGAATTATCACATTTCAGGGACATCGTACTGGGGTCCAGTCGTGAATATTACTTCTGTGTGATTGGGAATGGTCAGCTAGGCTTGGGTTTACATTGAAACCAATCACCGATTTACATGAGTGATGTAAGGGAGGTCTATCACATCCAATAGGGTACGCGTTAAAGTACCTCTCAAGCCATAGCAGCTCTTGTTTTGTTTATCACGCTTGGGTCATGGCTCTCTATTGACGTGCAGGTGTGCAGAGTATTCCCCAATCATCAAGTTTGGGGGAAGCCATCACACGACTAATTAATTGAGCGATCGCTGTCAGGTGTGTCAACCACAGGTGAGAAGGAGTGAACGCTTCGCTGATTACAGGTGGGCTATCACAACACAGCGATCTGTGAGATACCCGTCATACAAGTCGCCAGGTGCAAGGCCCACTAATCTACTGTAATCAAGGCGATTATTTGATCTCGATAACTTGAAATTAATTAACGGTGTCAAACCGATAAATCGTATCTTAACTTCAGGTGTTGAAACATACTTGTAGAAAATGCAAAATGTGAAAATGAGACTTGGGATTGGAATTGTGGACTATACTGCCATGACTCACAATGGAGTGCGTTGGTTACAGCCCCGCAACACTGGTTGAAACACGCAATTCCAATATATATTATATGAAGTGAATTTTAAAACATGTAATATTTAATTTTTGCTGAGTACCCCATCTTAACACAAGGAAATTATGACCTCCACCATTAACGAAGCTATAAGGGACGTGTATAGTGTTGAGGCAATTACCCAGCGGATACTGGCGGAGGGAGTGGGAGAGGCCCGGGGTTGGAGCGCGGATATCCCCGTGTAAGTAGGCCTTCCTTCTATACACGGAATCAGATTTATAATAAATAGCCCGACGCTGAAAACGTTTCACGATGAAACACGAAACCCTTATGTTACAAATTAACCAGGAAATCGAGTTAAGTTGGAATATTTCAAACCATGTTGATTTTGTAAATAGACAAGATTTTCAGTCAAGTGAGTGTGCCGGCTGCTGTGTGTACGTGACAGGGACACTCGACGCCATCACAAAAAATCCTCCCAGCTTTACACGTTTACAGAAATCGATTCTGAGTCCTACATAATACATACAGAGTTAACAGACAGTGTGAGACTGCATTCCCTTATAATTGTGGAAGCACCATATCCAGTGTCCACTAAAACGTAGTTTCCTACATATGATTTCGGCTTTAATGAGACCAGCCCACCTCAATAAAGCCACGCTAAGCACGATCCTGTCCTAACAAATGAGATTGACTATTGTCCTCCGCAGCCACTACTACATCAATTAGCTCGCCAAGCAGAACCATTTTCTTTAGAAACAGATAACAATAAACAAGCTGATGACAGCCAGCTAAATCACATCATGTCAAACAAGGCGTGTATTGTCTAAACATGCAGCGAGAAGTCGATAGTCAGCCAGTGTTCCATATGACCCAGCCAGCCGTGGGGGGAAGGGAGGGACCCTCCGCTATTCCCCAGACGCTGGGTAATACACGGGGCGTGTCCGGGGTCGGGATCGGTGGGGAGGTAACCCTGGCGATGGGACACAGGATGTTTCCTTGACGATGACAACACAGGCGGGAGTCGGTCTCAGGCTCCACAAGCTCGTGATTTTTCCGCATTGCGCCAGATAGACCGCTGTGCACCACAAGCGGAAAAGATTTAAATACGTGATCTGATGAACTAATTACAGACTCGTAAACCAGTTACAACCATATCCTTGACACTTGCACGCACTGTGGGGTTCTTAAACACAAATATAATCCAGAAATATTTTACACTGTAAAACCATGGACTAAAAACATGGATAATATAGTACAGTAGTTGCAAGTATAGTAGTACAAGTAACACGTATTCTGTTTCAAGTCCTGCCACCATTACAAATTATCGAACAAAAATATTTGTTATTGTTATTTCAACCCAGCTAAAATTATTAGACGAAATTTCATAAGTTTATTGTTTGTATTTCTGTCCGAGCGTATACGGCATAAGACGCGTGTGTGGACTCGGTGAAATGACTGGATTTCTGTAAGTATAATAGTTCTCAGGGAATTCTTCGTAGAATTGCGGGTTTGTAGCTATCAAAACAAGAATGGCAGGAATTTAAATCTGTTCTGTTTTCAACACAAGGTGTATTGAAAGTTTCACCTCTTATATATTATCAGTCAGCAAGATCGAAATTACCATTCTGGGCAGGTCTATGGCCGTGACGTGACTAGTTCCAACTACCGTAGCGAGGGCTGCGTGCCGCAACTAATAAACAGTCGCACTGCTTGTATCTGATACCACCTGGTCGTGGAACCGAACAGAGGTTACAGCCAATGTAGGTGGTTACAGTGGAGTAATGGTGGTTACAGTGGAGTAATGGAATATAGGTGGTTACAGTGGAATATGAGGGTAACCATGGACTATAGGTGTTCCAGTGGAATACAGGTGGTTACAGTGGAAAATTGGGTGTTACAGTCAAATGTGAGGTAACAGTGGAATGAATATAAGCGGTTATAAGGAATAGCGGTTACAGCGAATATCTGTGGTTACAGTGGAATGTAGAACAAGAGATTATTGAGGGTAAAAGAGGAGCAAAGGTGGTTGCAATGGAATATAGAATACATATTGTGTTGTATTATTTACTTCAGCATAGCTGCTACAGTGGAACTGTTTAAAAAAAGAAGAATATTTTTTACAAGTATTTGGCGAATAAGCAATACTTAATAACAAAACATTAATAACTCTCTTAACCCAAAATGTAATTTCTCTCGAAAGCTGTATGAAATCTTTCACATCGGAAAAGGGTGTACATGTGCAGTTCGGATTCAATTTCACGTTTGACTTTCCTTATTAAGCTTGGATTTGTGAAAAGATATATTTGGAAAGCCGCTTAGATGCGTGCCTTGAGTTGTGAAGCCACATTGTAGTATGCTGGTGCACGAGCGCAGCGATATGTACCGCCCCACCATACGCCACACGAATTTATTTACCAGTGATATTTATTCAGCTGAAAATTGTTTCCAAATCACATTGTCACACAATTACTAAAGAATGCAGGATATATGTTGAGTGGGTAAAGCTCACTTTATAGTGTTTATAGTGTCATACTTGCGTTTATATTTACACTGGGAAACAACACGAACATATTTGTTGGTATACCATGTGTATATACGCCCATTGGACAATACCACATATATATATATACTACTATACTTTGTGTATATATACACAGTGTACAAGGTGGGACAATTGGCTTTATGCAATTTCATCTATTATTTAAGGTCTGAAATATCAAAACAAAATCTAATCAACCAGTTGTGTTATTGACATAAAATAATCAGAAAAAAAGAAAATCATACATTTTGAATGTTACAGTTTGCGACGGAGATTGAATAGATTGCCTCTGATGGAGGACTGTTTTGCACTATAGCGAGGCATAACCGGCAACTTGATCTTGCCCATACCTGACTTAATGGGTGAAGTCACGCTCTCATTTGCCTGTAATTAACATTCCGTATATAGATGTCGAGATCTTTACTTATTTATGAGCCACGCATGTGTTGTATATGTTCAAGCAGACATAAAGGTATACACAAGATACTCACCCCTACAGTTAAAATGTCAAACAAAAATGTACAGATTATACCTGGATCACATACCGTTTTCAAGCATAAACGTTCAGCGCAATAACACGAACACAATCTATATACATGTATTGTATTGTAGAAATTCTATCATGAATATACCATTCCAATTGAAACATTTCAATTTTGAATACAGTACGGTGGGAAATAGTTCACTGACATAGAACACAAAAATACACATTTCACACCACAATATGCATACATATATAAAACCCGTTCCAATGTAAGTTTAGATATTTCAAGTTGGTTGCGGTCTGACGAGTTAGATGCTGCGATTGTGTCCAACTTCCAATGGCCATCAGGACTTGTCATATTTGCCCGATCAACACAGAAATATGTTACACATTCAACATTTCTAATCGTAATATCAACTCGTCAGTGCTACATTTCAGGGCGTGTTTAACTCGTAGACAGTCTCTTAAAGTGTACAACACGTTTTACTAAAGATTTAATCAACATGAAATAATATTCTTTAAACGCAATCCTTTGCGAGTAGTCGTATGCTTGCAAGAACGAAGTAAGGGAGATAACTGTGTCCCATGTACCCAGTTTGGATGATGGTGTTTAGTTTAAAACTGAAACGTGAACACCCGTGTAAAGTT